TGAATATATATATTCAAAGAAAGAAAAGAAAAGATTATATATATATATATATATATATGTATATATATATATATATATATATATATATATATATATATATACATCCATACACAGTGTGTGTATATATATATATATATATATATATATATATATATATATAGAGAGAGAGAGAGAGAGAGAGAGAGAGAGAGAGAGAGAGAGAGAGCGAGAGAGAGAGAGAGAGAGAGAGAGAGAGAGAGAGAGAGAGATAATGTCACGTAGCATTCATGGACTCGTCTATCTTGACTCACGACAGGGAAGGCTGTTGTTGGTTTAGGGTCCAGGAAACAGCAGACAATGTGGCCAAAGATCTAAGCTAACCGTTAGCATTAGCTACTTTAGGCCAATCCTCAACTCTGATGTGGCTAATTTCTACTTCCTGAAACTGTTCCAGAGTTCTGTTTCCCCAGAGTACGACTTACAAGGCCTTGATTTCTTCCAGAGACCACTGCAAATGTATTGATTAAACAAGGGATCCCCATCTTTAAAGAGCTCATAATAAAATTAGATGGTTGAATTGTTTCAGAGTTCTTGAGCTGCTAATGACCTCTGACAAATAACTAGATGCTTTCAAGTGCTTAATTAGCAATTGTTCAAAAATATATCTATTTATGTCAAGCTTTTAAACACCATCGTTGTTATTGATTTATCTGAAGATCTGAATAAAGATGTATTGAGGGAGAGAATGCATTCATCTAGAAAACATTTAGTAATTATTTAAAGATGCAAGCCTTAATAAACTTTAGTTATTTTTATTGCACAAATTAATTAATGCACGAGAGAGCTTCAATGCAGAAACCACACAAAGACATTCTTTCTGTTTTACAATTAGTTCAAACATTATAAATTAAAAAACATAACTATTTATTTACAGATTCAAAGTGTTTGTGTTGATATATTTTGAAAATAAATATAACAATAAATATATAAATAGTCTAAAACATTGTGGAGTTCATGCAGTTTAAGATGACTTTTGAATTAGTTATCTATCTATGCATCCACTAGGACATAAAAGTTACATCCATATAAACACACATCTTTAGTTTTCTTTTTCCCTCTTTTGCTGTTTGTCAGTATGAAAAGCAAAGCACAGCTTGGGTTAGACAAGTTGACTTGAACGTGATCAGCCAGGTAGACAGTCTTCGCTAAGAGACACTCAAATCATGGAGTTCTTCAGTCTGTCAAAGATCTGCTGGACTTTGATAGCAGGGACACAGCCTTCTCTCACAATGGTGATGACTCCTGAACGAAGGTTAGAAGAGCTTCAGTTAGAAACTTGACCTTAAACAGCCCCAGTAGGAAGAAATCATGGCCCCTTACCTTCATCAATCCTCAGGCAGTTGACCACAGTTGAAGCAACTACTTCATTCGAGTCACCATCACAAAGTACTCCTTGGATCTTGTGTCCCAGTCGACTGCAGCAAAAGAAGCAGTTTGAAACAGTAATTAGTGCATGGTGCTAAAAGTTTTAGAGATGTGTTGTTTGTTAGTTTGCATTAAACTTCTTTGAGGAGACTCTTACTTAATGACCATGCTGTGGTGGGTGCTGTCTGATTCTCCACTGGGATTGGCTGATGTTATGGCCAGGGGTCCAGTGATGTCACATAGGTGGCAGGTCACAGTGTGGTCTGGGACACGGATCATGATGCTGTCTCTGGTACCAACACGGTCATAAGCAGGTCCAACTCCTACAGAAATGAGGTTAAAGTTCACGTAAAAACTGAATACTGATACAGAATTCTGCCACTCAACATTCAAACACTCTACACTGCTGACCTAGTCTGTAAAGCCAGTCTCCTTTGCTGACAATGCAGCTGATGCCTCCAGGATACACATTCCTCATGAATTCCCACAGCAGAGGGCTGAAAGGAGGCCTGGCTGCAACCAGCTGTTCCACACTGGAGATGCAAATGCATATAGGCTTCTCTGCAGGTCTGTCCTGCAAAAGGTCCAATTCAACAAGATGGTGACTTCATGAAAATATATATTGCTGTTAAACAAGCCTCCTCTATCTTCTTACTTTAATGTTGTAGATTTTTTCTATCGCCTGAGGATTCTTGCAGGAAGCAGCCAGAGCGTACACAGTATCTGTGGGAATACCACACACACCCCCGTCCTCGAGAAGTCGAGCTATCTTCAACAGACCGCTGGTGAGACGCGAGCTAGCCACCGGACAGGACGGCTCGTCACAAGCTTCCTGTTTCACTTGTTCCTAAAACAAAACACACACACATTTTTATTAATTATTCACGCTGATTCTTAAAGGTAGGCCAATCTAAACTTCAGTCATTACCTTTATTATGGGAGGACCCATTGGGATCACTCTTTGTGAGAAGATGCAGTTCATCAGTGAAGCCAAGGTGCCATAAAAGCAAATGATGGATACCAATGCAAGCATGGCAACTGCAATACATCGTTTCTGGATGTTAGACTTTATTTGTTCTGATGAGAGTCAGTATCGTAAATACATAAAGTTTATAACAGGCGGTTTTAACTCACTTTCAAGTTGGTATGGAAGTCTGTGCAGGGTGGAGAGAAGGAAGCAGACAAGAACAACCTCCATGATTGTTGTTAGAAACAACAGAACCACGTTCCTATAAGCAGCTAATAGAAGAAACAAAAGTACAAAATTATGAATCAATAAAAACTGTGAATTCCAGCGCTGAAAGCAGATACTAGACCTTACCAATCAGCATGAGGAAGGCATTATTGACCAGTAAAGCAACGCCTCCAGCTGTGAATCCATAGGCTGCCTGGAGTGATAACATTCCTAATACTCCTGGTTCTCCATAGAAACTGGCAGGAAACCCGTCTGCTGTCATGGTGTTTCTGTAGACAATCCAAACATATGATAAAAGTCTAAAATGGTAATCGTCAACAACAACATTAATATATGAATTTTAAAAGGAACCAATGAAAGATTGAGCATAATATAATATAATATAATATAATATAATATAATATAATATAAAACGGTCCTTGCCTGTCATAAGTAGGCTGAGCCACTCTTGTCATGTAACTAATTTAAAAGTCATTTATTACGACGCTCCTCTAACAGGCTCTCTGAAGAGGAAGAATTTATTCTAAATGAAAACAATTTTATCAATAGAATAATACCCCTAACATTACTGTTATTTTCATGTTGTTGAAAAACTACAGGATATTGCAATAATAGTTTTAATATTTATAAATAAACTCTTGTCAGGGAGCATCCTTTATGCAGATTTAGGTCTGATTCAATCTACAAAGCAGAGTATATAATAATCTAGCTATAGGTTTAAGGATATTTGATGGGTGACATGCAGAAACAAAATATTTACTCCTGTCGGCAGTAAAAGAAAGAACAACGTTTTACCTGTTGAAGTTGTTCAGACTGATGGAAAGCTGAGTTATGCTGAAGGAGGGACGAAGGTTTGCCTTAAATATGATCTGTTTGTGTAAAGGAGGAGTTACTGAGAATTCCCCACTCTGTCACACAGCAGCATACTTACAGGTGACATCACTGCCTTTCACTTTACACAAAAGTGGCTTTTCCTCCTTCTTTCTCCTTCCTCCCCCTCAAGGCTATTGATGATGGTGAACGTTACACCACAGATAATGACCCGGGTGGAAAAGCCTCATTCTGATGTGATGCAGGATTGCAAAAGGAACCTGCCCTTCCTGCTCCTTTGGTGTTTCCGGTCATTGTAAGTCCTGGACTATATAAGGCAGGTGGATTTTCAGCCACAAAAGCATCAGCATCCTTCACTGCTCAGCTGCTGCATCCAAGAGAAACAAGAAACAAGATCATTGTGACAGAAACTTGAAGTCATGTTCTCCACGCTACAGGTAAGATTACCGACATATTTATGCTTTTAGTCGGTTTTCAGACTCTAAAAGTGATGGTTTTAAGTCCTTTTCAAATAAAGAAGTCATAAAAATATCTAAAAGTAGAGGTTTGTAGTGCGGCCAAGGCAGGGAACTATAAAATAACTCCTGCTAATTGTTGAGGAGAACACTCATGCTGGGAAACACCTGTTACACCTCTACACTGGCTCTTTCAAACACAAACATTAGATTAAAGACGTGAACAAGTAAATGCAGGAACTCATCAGCCTGTAGTCATCCTGAGATGTGAAAAATAACTGAAATGCTTTGTTCTGATTTATGTTTTGTCCCAAAGAAAACCATCAGACCAGTGCGGGCTGCCAGAAGACTGCATAACACTGCAGTGGAGGGTAAACAGATATGCTGACTTTGATTAAAAATAATAATAATAACCTTAATTAATAACCTTTATTAAACAACTTTTATCTTTTCATTCCTGCAGTCCAGAAGCACCCAGCCCCAGAAGATACGGTCACAGCCAGTTTTGGGAAGTTCATCAGTGAAATAAAGCCTCAGCATTTGTCTCCGGTTGTGCTCCATCGCAGCAAAAGGATGGTGCTGGACAGCATCGGGGTCGGACTGATAGGGAGCAGGACAGATGTGTTTGAGCTGGCTCTTCAGTTCTGCCAGGTGAGGCAAAGTGAAAGTCTGAGTCAGGTCCAACCCAAATATGTCCAGAACAGATGAGTGAATGTAGGGTTGTTTCTGTGTTTGTTCTTAGCACATGTATGCTCCGGATCACATCAGCTCTGTGTACGGACGCAGAGGGATCAGACTCTCCCCAACACTGGCAGCTTTCGTTAATGGAGTAGCGGTGAGAAACATAAGTGGAAAACAACCATATATAAATAACCACATAAACATCAGTGGAAACATTTTGTATAAACAGCTTTTCTCAGCTGTTGGTGCAGCGTGGCTCCCAAAGACCACAGGGTTAGGATATAGACATAGCTGGGATATGATCTAGTTATGACCCTCACAGAAAAAGTTATTATTCTGACTCCTTTCAGCTTCAGTATGATGAGACACAAACTCTGGTTGCTTCCAGACTCATTCCATGGACTTTGACGACACGTGGCATCCAGCAACTCATCCCTCAGGAGCTGTTCTCCCAGCTTTGTTTGCTCTCAGTGACATGATGCCGGCTAACAGCAAACCAAGCGGTCTGGACTTCTTACTGGCCTTCAATGTCGGCATTGAGATCCAGGGCCGTCTGATGAGGTTCTCTAATGAAGCACGCTGCATTCCCAAGAGGTCAGTGCCTCACAGCACAAGTCAAGCTTGAACCAGAAAGTCTGGTTTTAGCACGATCTTCATGAACACGTTCGTTTAAAGACGTCCTTGTTTGACTGTGCTGATCTCAGCACTGAGGTGTAAGAGGCCGTTTTAGTGATGTCAGTGTAATGATGCTTACTGTAGGAACAGCAGGGGCTCTTGGTGTAACGTTAACAGAATTAGCACAAACCAAACCCTTCATCTGGTGGGTGTTTTAGAAACTCAGGTGACCTGAAACGAGTCAAATCAATTCATCTTGTTCTAAAGATTCAACCAATAGAAACGTTCTTAAATGGTGATGCAGATCAGTGATTGTTTCAGTCACAACAGAATAAATGTCCTAACTGAACTGTGTGTGTGTGTGTGTGTGTGTGTGTGTGTGTGTGTGTGTGTGTGTGTGTGTGTGTGTGTGAACAGGTTCCATCCTCCCACTGTGGTGGGTCCTATGGGAAGTGCAGCAGCCTGTTCTCGTCTCCTATCTCTGGATCCGTCTCAGTGCAGTCATGCCTTGGCTATAGCAGCTTCTCTAGCTGGAGCTCCGATGGCTAATGCTGCCACTCAGTCCAAGCCCCTTCACATCGGCAACGCCTCTCGTTTGGGGCTTGAAGCTGCTCTGCTGGCCTCCAGAGGCCTAGAGGCCAGTCCTCTGGTCTTGGATGCTGTTGCAGGACTGGTGGGCTTCAGCGCCTTTTATGAAGATTATGTTCCTCAGCCTTTAGAGTCACCTGATGATGGTGGACATGTGTTCCTGTTAGAGGAGCAGGACATGGCTTTTAAGCGTTTTCCTGCCCATCTGGGGATGCACTGGGTAGCTGATGCTGCAGCTGCAGTCCATGAGCTCCTTGTGGGACATGGTCTAGGACAGGTGTCCCCACATCAGGTCCAGGACATCCTGCTCAGAGTCCCCCAGTCTAAATACATCAACAGGCCTTTTCCCGAGTCAGAGCACGAGGCACGCCACTCCTTCCAGTTTAACGCCTGCAGCGCTCTGCTGGACGGTGAGGTGACCGTGCAGTCCTTCAGCCCGCCCGCCATGAGCCGCCCAGAGCTGCACTTCCTGCTGAGCCGTGTTCGCATGGAGCATCCTGAGGACAACCCCGCCAATTTCAACCGCATGTACGGAGAAGTCCAGGTGACTCTAGTTGGAGGAGACATCCTGAAGGGCCGCTGTGACACCTTCTACGGCCACTGGCGCAACCCGCTGACAAACGAGAGCCTGAGCAAGAAGTTCAGAAGCAACGCAGAGGTGGTGCTGCCATCAGAGAAGGTGGAGCGACTGGTGGAGGTGGTGGAGGAGCTGGACAGGCTGGATGATTGTGGAGCTCTTCTCTCACAGCTGCAGTGATCAATAACACTGAACAATAAGGCAACAATCCTTCAGCATAGAAATAAGAATAATATTATTTTTATATTAATGTTCTGAAATGATCTGCTTAGTGTAGACTGGAAATAAACACATTGTCATGTTTTTCCTCTGGAATTTTCCTCAAGCTGATGTTTCCTCTATTCTTCAAGATTGTCTTTTGGTATTGAATTCTGTTTTTATCGTAACAAAATTCAGATAAAAACATGACTCGTGTGTGTGTGAGTCATATTTCTTGTTTAATGCCTGTTTTTATATTAATATTGTTAATCTATGAAAATGTGTTTCCTGCAACCTTTTCTCAAAATGTGTACATAATAAAGTGTTTTAAACATGTAAAACACATGGTCATTAAGTCACCTGTGTGTGTGTGTGTGTGTGTGTGTGTGTGTGTGTGTGTGTGTGTGTGTGTGTGTGTGGTCTCTTCGGCAAGGACATGTCATTCAAATCTCACGTTAAATTGGTTTGTAGGATTTCCTTTTTCCACCTTCGGAATATTGTTAAGATTAGAAGCATCCTTTCCAGGAGTGATGCTGAAAAACTAGTTCATGCATTTATTACATCAAGACTGGATTACTGTGATTCATTACTCTCAGGAAGTCCACAGAATGTAGTTAAAAGTATTCTGCTTGTCCAAAATGCTGCAGCAGGACTTCTGATGAGAATTAAAAAGAGAGATCATATCTCTCCTGTCTTAGCTTCCCTACATTGGCTGCCTGTTTAATTCAGAATAGATTTTAAGATCCTCCTTCTCACATATAAAGCTCTTAATAATCAAGCTCCGTCATACATCAGTGACCTGATTGTTCCATACGTTCCTAACCGAGCACTTCTCCCTCAGACTGCAGGTTTACTGGTGGTTCCCAGAATATCTAAAAATAGGATGGGAGGCAGATCTTTTAGCCATCAGGCTCCTCTCCTGTCGTTAAGCAGCTCCCAGCTTTAGTCCTTGAGGCACACTTCTTGTCTACTTTTAAGACTAGACTTAAAACATTTTTATTTTGATAGGGCCTAGTTAATATCAATGGAAACTTCAGGGTTAATGTTAAAAACCCTGATGTTGTTAGACATTGTGGAAGAGGGGTAACATAAAAACTGGTGCGGACAAAGGGGGAGTGTAAATAAAATGTATTTTTATTAACACAGGGCTAACACAATTACTCAGTCCTTGACTGGAAAAATGTCAAAACGCAATTACACTGGGATATAACTAACGAAGGCGATGGAGAAAACTCAAAACAACTGAGACAAACGGTCTCAGGGAAGAAAATACGAGAATATCGGTACTAAAGAAAAAACATGCCGGAGCTAGCTAACTAAAACAAATCTCGATGGCTATAACTATGATAAATATTATTACTACTAGCAAAACTTAAAGAGAGCTCTAAGGCTGAAAAGAACTGAAATTCAAGCACTAGAGCAGACAAAACATGGATCACTAAACGAAAATAGCTAATAATTATTCGAGGATTAAATGAAAAGAACTATCTATTCTAATTATCACAATCATAAAAGTTCTATATCCAATTCGAAAACGTAAGTCCACAAAGATCCACACCGAGGAGAGAAATACAGGGTGTTAAGCTGTGAGTCTCTCCACGAGAACTGAAAGCTGCAGTCCTTTAAACCATCGGTCTTCATTAGTTGATTGTATGCAGCTGGAACAGCAAAGGCGGGCAGAGGTGGAGGCCAGCCTGACGAGGACCCGTCCAAGGTCCTGAATGGCATGGAGGGAGCAGGACTGGGACATTCAAGGTGCAGGAGCCCAGGATTCATAACAGTTAAACATGGCCTAAAAAAGATGTGAAGTCCTTTGCATTTGCAAAATACTGTGTTGAAGGAATAACCAAAGGGAAACAGCCAAAAATGTGATAACAATTTATATTGTGTCTCCATGTTTCTGCCCTTCCCCTGAACTTCAACTGTGAGTCTGGGCTGATTCTGTCCACCATCTCTCAGGCTTTTGTGGTGATCCATCAGATCAGAACAGCTCCACAGAATGACGTATTAAATAGGGTGACCATACGTCCTCTTTACCCCGGACATGTCCACTTTTCACTCTCTGTCCGGGACGTCCGGTAGGGTTTCCTACATGGAATAAAGTGTCCTGTTTTTCATCCAGGAGCAGGGATCGACTTATGGGGTCTATATCTTTCAGGGAAAGATCCATTTTCTACCATTATTACAATATTTATGGACTCTCAGCGTAGCGGGATTCTGTTGAGCGGAGAGGACGCAGAGTGCTGATCGTTGGTGCGCGCGCTGCGTCCGGCCCACGATACATTCACAAAGTGGCGCAACAAAACATTATTATTAACACATGATCATTCGCATCTGTTTAAACCCTCTGGTATTCTGTCTTTTAATTGTTCCTGACGCACTCCACTCATCGTGTGATGCGGTGATTTCACCTCACTGACACAGCATCGAAACGCGCACTACGCTTTGCGGTCAGGAGATTCCTTTGATCTGCTTAGTTCAAAAGTAACTGATGAGGTGAAAAAGTAAGAATCCAGGCAGCAGTTTTTCTGGAGAGTTTAGAGGAGATGCAGGAAGATGAGAGACAGGCAGGACAGGAAATAGTTCAATAAAAACAAGAAAACAAAGCAAAGTGCTGAAAAGTAAAATGTAGATAGGTTTATCCCCACTACACGTTTTTACCTGTACAAAACAATAAGTTACACACATGTAATATTTATACATCTGATACAATTCAGATCACCTTCAAAACTCAGACAAACCCAGGGCCGTTTCAAGGCATTTTGGGGGGCCAAGGCAAAACAGAACACCCCTCACCCCTATAACTGGGCTCCCCAGAAGTTATACAGTGTTTGTAAAAGCATCTCAGACATCACTGACAGCTCCTAATATTGTCAGACGAAAAACAAAATTGTCGGACACGCTGTCATCTGTTTCTTTTCTAAACTCACAAACAGCGCCGGCGCTCCACACACGCACACCACGCACAGCGCTTAGGGCACCACGCGGGGGGAGGCGCACCAAACGCAAGCTTATGAAAAAATAATAAATATGATAAAGACAGATTTCAATTAGAAGATGTGCAAAGCAAGTTAACAGCATGTTTACAGAGAGAAAACAATACAAAAAGTAAAGGAGATGGACCGTGTCACACCGTCCCCCCACCCCACCCCACACCCCAGCAGTACACCTGCGGAGGATGCAGCGGGCACAGTCATGGCTCCGAAAAGGCTGCAGGAGTCCGGGGCAGTAAAGAGACAAAAGAAAAACAGCGGGATAATGCTGTTCCTTTGATTGCAGGTAAGACAAGTATTTTAATGGAAATTCTTGCTTTTTTATCCATTTCCAATTCTAAACACGTGTGATCAAGTTCAGAGGGTCGTTTGACCTAGCTTAAATTCGGACTTGTTACTGCTGTTAATTAATCTGTTTTTGGTCAAATTTTGCCTAGTTTGGTAAGCATGCTGCTTTTCAGGACTTTTATTCGGTGTTTTTTGCACTCTGCTTCCGCACATTTAACATTTTGACTCTATCTGCGTGGTTTGGGCAGATCTCGTACTCTGCTTCTCCAGTCTGTTAAAAGTATAATGCGCCACTCTGTCCCGCAGCCTCCCGTCCACCTACCGGGCGTTCATTAGTAGCTGAGTGAGAGAGGCTGAGAGGGAGAGAAACTCAGAGAAGCTTTAGAGCTTTTTTACTGCTGGAGAAAAAAACGTAGCAAGTCATCATCTTCCTAAATGCAGTTATTCTCTTCTGAATCAGCACTTCTTTAAAGAAGAAGAAATAGTTAAATGCAACAAAGGGAAATATCCTTTTATTCAGCCTGTTCATGTGACTTGTATCAACAAATAAGTCTGAACAGTGTTAAAGGTTATTCATCTAAAAAATAGACCTTGAAGAGTTAGAAAATTTGTTTTAAAAAATTCATCTTAAAACATCTTTCTCAAGTAAAATAAAGTTTCCTCTGTGAGGTCAGATAGGCCCATCTGTGCTGTTTTGCAACAGAGATAAACAAATGAATCATATTTTTCCACCCAAATACTTAAATATCACAAAAACAGGAAGGACAAAAACACTGTCAAGGTAGAGTAAGACATTTTATTTTTAAATAAGCGGCTGTTTGTGATTAATCATGAGTTAACTATGGACATGATTTATATCATTATTAAATAGCCCATGTGGCCTATAGGCTATGTAACTGAGATTTAATATGAAAAATTAGACAAACCTATTTTCAAATTAGGTATTTGCTCTCTTAATATATATCTCATAAACATTTACAGGCCAAGGGGAACACCAGCTGCTGATGGTATAATATGAAGAAAAAAGTCCATTATGCTAACCTCCTCCCTTCATATTCAGAATTTTCTAGTTGTGTATAAACGTGTATATTGTGCCTCTCTAGTTCTTAAAAAAGGTTAGTTTTGAATTTAGTCATGTCACATGCCAGTGATTTATAAGCCAATATAAACCTATAAATTATCTATTGCAGTATTTTTTTACCATGGTTTAAAACTTTTATCTTATTATAAAATGAATATGACAAGTTATCTTTTTGTGCTTGAATGCAGGCTCAATGAACAAGTACATTCAAGGAGGAGCTCACGCCAAAAGTTCAGATCAGCCACCCACCAGCAGTTCAAGAGCTCAAGATCAGTTGTCAGCCATCACGTCTGAACCTTCTACAACATCACCCAGCCCTGACCAGGAATTACGAAGTAAAGCACACCTACAGACCGAGCACAGCCCACAGCCAGCACCTCTGAAGGCAGAGTGGGTCCTGGATCTGAAAATTACATTGGAGAAACACATGTGCCACAACCGGTGCTTGTGGTGTGTGGACCTGTTACATAGTTCTAAATAATAACAATATGGAGTTCCTGTGTGTATGTTATATTATGTAAATATCAATCCTACTTTTTGGAAATAATAAGCAGTTTGTGCATACAAGAGAATTAAAGAGAATTTAAGGAGAAGCGCTTGCACATACTGTGTTATTGTGTTGTTTTTTCTGCGGGGGGGGGGCACCACGAAGACTTTGTGCTTAGGGCACCAAAATAGCTAGCAACGGCCCTGCTCACAAACATCTGTCAGTAACAAAAGCATCTGAAAGCCTCTATTTGTGGATTCTCTGAAAGTTTCCATGGAGTCCATGACAAACTTTTTTATCATTGATCCTATTGTCTAATCTCACAGCTGAAACAAGCATCCTTAATAATCTGTGCACATG